TTTTGTTACAACTAAGGTGCTGCTGGTGGAGGCCATTGGTCATAACGGTGAAAGCAATGCATAGAATGTTACGTGGTGCCAGTGACTTGTAGTTGTTTTGACTGATGTATGGCAAGAAAGAGAGAAAGAACAGATGGAGTTCAATGGTCGCGATGCTTGTGGGCTGCAACGGTGAATGGTATTTGAAATCATCGATGTGGTGGTGTTAACTATCATGTCGGCGATGGTGTTGATTCAGCTCTAACCACAGTGGTGACGGAAAGAGAAAGATGGCATGAGAGAGAAATAGAAACATCGATCACTTTAAAAACTAAAAATTCATAAGTTTTTGATCTTAAGATACTTCAATATGAAACATTAAATTATTTCCTTATCTTAACGTTAACAGAATTTGAACATTGAGTAATTGTGACAATCTATTCTAGAGTGACCCCTCAAGCGGTGAAGAGAGGGTAGCCAGCACTTCGCTCTGCAGATTGAAATGCTGAGAGCTTGAGTTCGCCGCTCAAGCAGTGGAAAGACCACTCTAGTGGTTTGCGTGAAATCAGCAACTTAAAAACTTACTTTGGGCTCAATTCTTTTCATTGTTCTTTCATTTCTTTCCTCTCCTCTCCCTAGCTCCAAAAAACCCTAATTTTCTCTCTCTAGAAATCTCCCTTCTCACTTGGAATCAATCCTAGATTTCTTGCAAAAACGTGAAGTCCACGTGGAGACTGTGATTCTCAACAATTGGATTACGATTTCGTGAAGAGTTCTTCTTGGTTCTTCCTTCTTGAGGTATGCTTACTTTTAAGGTATCTCCTTGATTTGAGATGGATATGTGGGGTTCTCTAAGCTATGATGTTTACAGAGGTGATTTTGCACATAAAGTGAGTTTTGATGTTTAAAAAGGGGCTTCTACCTAAATTTTTGAAAGTTTATGAGTATATCCTTGTTGATTATGAATTGATGTTGTGTATTGGTTCCTAAAGCATGAAAGAGGGTAAAGCCCCAAATCTTTCCAGAACACTAGTTTTTAAAATAAAAATTTTAAAAAATGATTTAAGAATGATGTTTTGTTCAATTGATCCTTAAATCTTTGGAATTTGGTGAATGACTGATACAAATGTGTTGAGATATAGAATTTTGGATTATTTCATAAATATGTTGGAGCTTGTTGGAATGAGAAATTCAAACAAAAATTTCCTTTTGTCTATTGTTTTGCTCTCTTTCATTTATGAATCAAATGAACTTTGATAAAACTGAGAATTTGAAAATCATGCATCATGTGTATTATCGTTTTATTTCGCAATCCTATAATCTCAAGGAAGCTTAGAAATATCAAAAGGGGGTAAATAATGTATGAGTCCGAGTAGTCGAGTCGGGTTTTGAAAACATATTGTGTGTGGTATTGGTGCCTAATTGCCCTATTTTAAGCTTATCGCTGAACGAATGTGTGGAAAAAAAATTTGGATGCCCACTGGTCCTGCCATATTCATAGCTGGCAAAAGTGGACAAATGATCATATTTTGGGTGCTCATCACCCTGCCGTATTCATAACCAGCAAATGTGGAGATATTTTCTGGTATGAACCTATATATATGTATTGTTTGGAAATCCTATTAGGGATTTCATAGTGTATTTACCACCCAATATTAATGAAATGTTTAAATTTGAACAACGGTGCATTTATTCCCTTTTCATTCAAACACTATAAAGGTAATTATCTTGTCATCGCATGATCATATGAATTTCAATCTATTAGATAATTTGTTACATGTATTTCTACTGGGCATATAGCTTATTCCTATCTAACATTTTCAAGACTTGGTGATATGCCTCACCCCAATGATCAAGAGGTGGATTTTGTTAATGGAGCACGAAGGCTAATGTATATGAATTATGTAGAAGCTCCAAGCTTAATTGTTTTGGAATTGAGTGTCCAATTTTCATTGTACCAAGGCCCTTGCCTTGATGTTTGTAAGCCCTTAGGACATTTGTTTGAAAAATCTCTAGTTTCTTGAATTATGATGACATTACTTTAACTATAGTTGAACTTGAAATTGTAATCTTTTGACTATAGTTCAATGAAAAAGAGAGCATTTTATACTAAAGTTATCTTTTGTTTCTAAAGTAATTCTAAAGAAAACATTTTGTTACATAGAGTTAGTGAAATTACTCATGAATTGGTATCTATTATTGTTTTAAATTTTTGGGACGTTGCAGTAATGTTTGAAGAGAGAGAAAGTCACTCTCTTACCGACACATATATTATCATTACTGTAGAAAGAAGAGAAACTCCATTGATTAAAGCTTCATCATCGATTGAGGCTTCATCGGCGGTCATTTTCGCTAGCAGATTGAAGAATGAGTTTCAAGTTCATAAGTTCCTCCAACGGATCAAAGAGAAAGACAGAGAAACTCACTCGTCTTCCACCAATGGACCAAAGTGCTCTTCTAAAGAGATTTTCATTGCTGTCCATCTAATTCTCTTCGCCGACGTATCGATCCATCTCCAACTTCAGTGTCGCAAATGTTTGAGCATCTAAGGAAAAAGTTCGCATCGGAAATCTCCCCAGCCGAATGAACTTCACAAAGCTTATACAGAAAAATCTCATTAAGTCGATTGAGCATCCAAGGCCAATGTTTGTCCAAATTTTACAAATTGCAATTTTTTTATTTTATTTTATTTTTCACATAAATTAGATTTTTGGGATGTGTTGGTGATAATTATAAATAAAATATCAAAAAATACAAATAATAAAAATTATAATAACTATTGAAAGGGCTGAGACGGGAAAAATTAGCTCTCTTTAAGGAGATTTAAGCCCTCTACGATTAGGCAAAACCTCACACAGGTACAGTAGAAAAAACATTGACTTGTCCAATCACGATATAACAGCCCGACTAAGTTGTATGGTTCACCATTACTGCACAATTGGTTGAACTCAAAGTTTCATCACATACACTCAAAACCTCACATCGGTGCAGCAGAAAAAACTTTGACTTGTCCACCTACGATACAACAACCCGACTAAGTCGTATGGTTCGCCAATACTACACAATTGTTTGAACTCAAAGTTTCATCACATACACCCTTTATTTCTTTGCCGGACAATCTCATACAAAAAATAATAAAATAATAAAATAACAAACACTTATTGTTTTCAAGATAAGAGGTTAGCTCTATTTATAAGAGAGGAAATCTTGGGGCAAAAGAAAAGGAAAATAAAATAAAATAGGAGTACTTACGTGTAGGTCCTAATAAGCGGATTTATTGTCTAATAGGTCTTATGAAAAAAATTTGTCATAAAAAATGTCACTAATTGTAAGTTTTAACGGCAATTTATAAAATCATGACTAAAAAAATGTACTAATTGTCAATTTTCAGCGACGTACGTAAAAAATTGTCATCCAAAAATTTTATTTTTAGCGACAATTTTACTAAGACTTATTTTCAATAGGACTTGATAGGAATTAAGTCTAACTATTAGGATCTATTGGTAATTTACCCAATAAAAGTAAAATAAGAGTTATTTGGTGGGTAAGAATACTTGGAAGAAAAGAAAAGATAAGAGTTACTCGGTGGGTAAAAATACTTTTCTTAGAGGCAAAGAAAGGTAGCTTAGAGAACAAGTTATTTGGAGCCCAAGCACACAATATAATTTATAACACATTATAATATTAAAATATCTGCTAACAGGATGTAAATTGAATATATCTTTTTGAAACCGAAAATGATTTATTTTTTAATTTAAAGATTGTATAAGGCTTTTGGGATGTGAATTTAGTGCTTGATTTGGGCGAGTTAATTACCCTACAATATTGCGGGTTTTGTTTTAGTTGGTAATTCTCATATGAATGATGGCACTATGGAGAAGCAAATAGTTTTTTGTTGTATTAAATTAGCAAGAGCAGTGGTATAGGTATTCAACTCCAAGTTTCAGTAGTTTACCAAATTGAAGTGTATCCTCTGCAAGAACAACCACGGGCAAGGACTGCATGCAGGCGACGTCAATGTTAGGTCTCTCAGGTAACCTCCTTTTGGATGCTCTCTATGCTTTTCTCTCTATGGAGTCCTTTGTCTCTCTACTATAATATGTTTGGGCGAGAGAGAATGAAGTTTTTCTTTTAGATATTTATCCGTAGGTTTTTTTTTTTTCTGACTAAACACGTAATGGACTTTCTCGCTAGTGCACTGGGTCTACCATGGCATGTCACGTCTGCTTCTATGGTTCAATCTATGTTTCGTTTCGAATCTGTGAAAGTAGCATTACTCATTAAACATCATTTAAGGGTAAGAGTGGGTTTCTAACATGGCAAGCTTTCTGACATCATGCTGAAATGGCACACTCTAGTTGGTTTGGAGTACCAAATACGTCAGATGATGTGGAATTTCCGGAATACTGAATAATTTCCCCCTTTTGGATAGCTGTTAAAATTCCACCTACTCCACCTACTCCACCTACTCCCACTACACCTACTCCACCTACTCCACTACACCTACACCTACTCCACCTACTCCATGCTGAAATGGCACACTCTAGTTGGTTTGGAGTACCAAATACGTCAGATGATGTGGAATTTCCGGAATACTGAATAATTTCCCCCTTTTGGATAGCTGTTAAAATTCCACCTACTCCACCTACTCCACCTACTACCACTACACCTACTCCACCTACTCCACTACACCTACACCTACTCCACTACACCTACTCTCCACCCACATCTCCTATATAATGTACATACAATATATCAATCAAGAACATAATCAATAATACAATTCTCTACTTCTTTTTATACATTGAATTTTACATGGTATCAGAACAAGGTTAAGAAGCTAGTAATTCTGCTTCACCGGCGGGCGGCAGCCTCGCCTTGGCCGCACGCCGGACCTCTACACATGCCTTCACTCCCTCTCTCTCTCTGCAAGTTCAACCAACCTCCATGGCTCTTCTAGCTCGAAACTCACATCTATTTCGTTCACGAATTGGGTTAAATTTTCGCGGCTCAATCACCAGCTCTCCCCTGTGTCAAAGCCTTTTCAAAGGGCTACTTTCTACTTCAAGGAGGCTGTTCAGTTGTCTCTCATTCCCAACCCAGTAGTCACTCCTCGGACTCCTACTCCTTTCGATGGTATCTTCAAAATGGGTGCTTACAAATTGCTCTCTGAAGTCTCTCCCTTGATCCAATTCATGAATTTCACTTCCAACCAAGCCTTGCTCGACGCTCTCGACGACGACACTCGTCGCGTCCACGTGATTGCTTTCGATATCGGATTCGGTGCTCAGTGGGCTTCTTTTATGCAGGAGCTTCCGGGGAAGTGTAGCAGAGGTCCTCCTTCTTTGACAATCACTGCCTTTGCTTCGCCTTTTACTCAAATCGAATGGCCCTAATCGCATCACAGAGATCAGCAACGATCCACACAACCCTACCATCACTGGCCCATCACTGGCTCCGCCATCGCCGTCGCCGTCGCAGCCCACAGAGAAGAACAACAACAACAGGAGGCTGCTCTTTAAGTTGAAAACAGGCTCCTTCTCGGCTCTCGCTCCCTGTCTCTCTCATCGTGTTCCAATGCGGACTAAGCTCTTACCACCACCCATTAACAAAAAAAAAAAAAAAACAGATTCATCTCATCTCTCTCTCTCCTATCATACACAGATAAACACATTGTTTTTATTATCACTTCCTCTCACTCTCTCCTAAAATAATACTCCACCTCTCATAGACCCCAGACTCATTATTATGCTCTCTACTCTCACCTTCTCTCTCTCTCCACTTTATCACATGGGTTTGTTCCTCTCTCTCCTCCGTTTGATTTCAAAATCTATTATTTTTATTTATTTTCTCCAAATCACTTTTAATCTCTTTCAAATACTCACTTTTATTTTATTATATAATCAACATACCCATCATTCTTTTCCCCACTCAAATATATTATACTAGCCTTCATTGATTCCACTGGCTTCCAACACTTCATTTTATTTATTATTATTATTATTATTTTCACCAAAAAAAAAAAAACAAAACAAAACTACATTCATTCCAGTTGATTTTTCTGCCTTACCACACCTCCCATTCGAGTTTGCAAAACACACTTGTTTTATTCATATCAGGGATTCACCCCGCTCACCATTCTACACCAAAAAAAAAAAAAAAAAAAACAAACAAAAAAAAAAACAAAAAAAACCAAAACAAAACAACCCCACCCACAGGGTATTTTATTCATATTGGGGATCAACCCCGATCACCATTTTACAAACAAAAAAAAAAAAAAAAATCACAAACCCGACCCACAGTGGGATTTTTCTTCTCTACTCTGCCGCCGGTCTTTTCTTCTTGCCTCCATCCTGGACGGCCCTTGACGGTGCTGCCTCTGTATTTCCCGCGCCGCCGAGCACGTTCACTCCCTCCTGCTCCTCCACTGCAGCATATGGCGGACCTCCAAATTGGAACGTAACGGTGGCCTTCCGCTTCAGCTCCTTATTTTCTGCCTTTAGTACACATATTTCTGCTCGCGCATCCTTATACATGCGCTGGAGCAGAGCCAGTTGGGCGTTTAACTGCTGCACCTCATTTGTCCTACTCTAAAGCCGGTGCGACAAGTTTGTGGCTGCCGTCATCGTCTTCACACATGACTTCAATGTATACTGATTGGCCTCAATATCTAATTGTGCTGCCATTCTTTGCTCCACAGACCGCATAGGAAAGGTCAACGGAGCAAACTCAGGGGCGCTTGGTTGAGGTTCAAGGGCAACCGCACCAGTTATCTCCCTTGTGGACTCGTTGAGGTCTGGAAAGAGAGTGAGCAGACCACGGGAAGAAGAGGCCATGTTATGGGTTGCTGAGTGTTTCAGATGCAACAGAGTGTTACAGGGTCTCTCTCTCAGAAAATGAAGAGTTTTTCAGAGGTTTTTAGCAGGTTTCTGCCTCAGCCTCAGCCTTCGTCTTGGTTAAATAGCCAAGGTAGACACGCGCATCGTGCGCCGCTCGGCGCTAGACGACAACATGGGCGCGCAAGCCAAGGTCGTCATGCGCTTCGCCATAATGTCCGGCACACCTTTTTATGGATTGGGCACGCCTTTTGATGGCACGCCTTTTGACAGATTGGGCACACCTTTTGAGGGTGCGACTTTTTAGGGGTCTGACACGACTCTATAAAACTGTCCCGACATTGATTCCGGTTAGCTTTTCCAGCGGTCCGGCATGACCCCATAAAACTGTCCCGACATTGATTCCGGTTAGCTTTTCCAACGGCCCGGCATGACCCCATAAACTGTCCGGACATTGATTCCGGTTAGCTTTTCCAACGGTCCGGCATGACCCCATAAACTGTCCCGACATTGATTCCGGTTAGCTTCTCCATCGGTCCGGTGTGACCTCGTGAACTGTCCAGACATTATCTGCTACAACGGTCCGACACAACCATACAGTGTCTCCTATCTTATTTTATTTTATTGTCCTTTTATTTTCCTGTTTGTTACTCTCTCCAAACTCAAGTTGGTTTCTGTTTATCCTCTTTGAGTTTGAGGGGGGCTGTTAAAATTCCACCTACTCCACCTACTACCACTACACCTACTCCACCTACTCCACTACACCTACACCTACTCCACCTACTCCACCTACTCCACTACACCTACTCTCCACCCACATCTCCTATATAATGTACATACAATATATCAATCAAGAACATAATCAATAATACAATTCTCTACTTCTTTTTATACATTGAATTTTACAATAGTTTCACATGTGAATGGTGCCAAAGACAAATCTTAGGTTTCACTTATTACTATTCTGATTCCAAATGCAGATTCAAGCTCGATATTCTCTGCTCTAAGTTGATTAGGCCAATGGGAAATAGTGAGGAGCATAAATCTATTTGCCACAAACATCCCTTGACCTTAGTTCCATGTGTCGAGGACATCTTTAATATTACATGCTCTGCTGTGTCCTCTCTGCCCGTGCAGATCAGTTCTCGGATACTTTGGCATGTACCTCTGCTCTAGTTGTGATTTTTCACTTTATGTCTCATGTGCTATGTTAATGCCCACCATTGATAATGAATTCTTTGCACACCAAATACAGCATCGAAGCCACCCGCATTCCTTGATTCCATTGCGGGAAATGCAACATCCTACCCTACTATCCCCTATTGTTGTTTCATTGACGTGCTCTGGATGTGAAGGAACCTTGCAGGACTCAGACTCGAGCTATGTTTGCCCTCAATGCCTCTTCTTGTGCAAATCATGTGTTGAATTGCCAGAAGAGATCCAACACCCATTCCATCCCCAACACCCTCTCAATTTCTTGGATGATAATAAGGATAGTTGGCGTCATCATGGGAATAACCTCTATCACTATGTGGCGTGTCAGTTCTACATAGGCCTTGAATGTGACTCGTTTCACACCGTAAAGTATGAGCATCACGAACACCCTCTTGCTTTCATAAACCAGGGCATTAGTTATAACTTGCTATGCCACTAGTGCAGTGCCCCTTGTCAAAGTCTCATCTTATTAGGGCTGATCGCGGGTCGGTTTTGGCTGGGTGCGGGTCAAAACCGACCCGACCCGCACATATGCGGGTTGGAGAAAACAGACCCGCAACCGCCCGCGGTGCGGTTCGTGGGTTGTGCGGGTGGGTCAGTTGGTTGTGCGGGCGGGTGCGGTTCGGTTTGCGGTTTGGGCTTTTTTTAAATTGGGCTTAGTTATGATATTAATTTGAACAAATTTGACATGTTGGGCTACTTTTTAAGCATTTTTTTATTATTTATGGAAAAGTTATAAATTAAATTTCATGATAACATAAATGCCCATATAATGATATAATAAATTTTACATTCTTCCAAAATACAAAAATAATTGATAAAACTAATTACAAACTAAAACATTAAAATTCACACTAAAATCAATCTCCATTCATCCATAATCCAAAGCTTACCTAAATTTTACATTCATCCAAAATACAAAAATAATAATACTAACTAGTCATCTCCATCCATCCATAATCTAAAGTTTACCTAAATTTTACATTCATCCAAAATGTAAAAATAATAATAATAACTAGTTATCTCCATCCATCCATAATCCAAAGCTTACCTATTAATCCAAAATGCAAAAGTAATAATAATAATTAGTTAGAAACTAAAATAAATTAGTTTTCATCCATCCATCCATCCAAAATCTAAAGCAAGCTTACCTAAAATTTAGTGCTCCAATTAATTTTACATTCATCCAAAATAAAAATAATAATAATAAACATTAGTTACAAACTAAAATAACATTGTCTAAAAACTTCATCTAAAATAATTTCAAAAGGTGGTATCCATCCAAGGCTTCACTAAACTCTTTAGGTCCATCTTCCAATGTCCAATCTCATCCAACAATGTGCCAAAAAAAATTCCAATGAGCCAAATTAATAAATATAAATAAATAGATGTGAATAAATAAACATTAAGCTGATCTCAACTAATTAGAAAAATCTCACACATGAGCCAAATGAACATTAAAGTTCAATTATAGCATCTACATTAGACTTTGAGGTTGAAGAGGAACATGGCTCCAAAGTACCTAAAAGCATGAGTCAACAAGAGAAGATAAATAAACTTGCATAGTAAAAATAATAATAGAATTAAAAATGAAGAGATATTCACATATTACCCGAGTCGTATTGCTCAAATTCCTCCACATCATCCATTGCTTGTCGAAGAGAAATTGGAAGGTTGCTTTTAAGCCAATTTTGTGTGCATACAAGAGCTTCAACCATGGAAGGGGCAAGTGAACTACGGAATGGATCAAGTATACGTCCCCCGGTACTGAAAGCCGACTCCGAAGCAATGGTAGAAATGGGCATGGCCAACACATCCTTTGCTATTTGAGATAACACTCTATACTTTGTTGCATTATTCTTCCAATATTCCAATATCTCAAATGTCTGATTTTTTGTAAAATGTTCAACCTCGCCCAAGTACTTGTCTAATTCCGACTTGCTTCCACTAGTGAAGCGCCCTTCCAAATATGAATTAAATTGGGACTCCATTTGAGAATCCAAATCATCCTCATCAATCACCATTGTCTCCACTTCAGTCACCCTCGAGACACTCTCATTTGATGAATAAATTGTGGCATAATGGTTGTACAAACGAGTCAAACAAGAAACAATTTTGTTCACCATCTCATCCACGTTCCTCTTTTCTCCATGAAATATATTTGTAAAACAAAACTCCAAGTATGTTATCTTTTTTGTAGGATCAAGAGCAACAGCAACATACAACAACAAATTAATCTTATTTCCATCCCCCCAATATTTGATGAACTTTTGCTTCATACTCATAGCCATTGTGCACAAAACATCATCATTGTCCAAAATTAATTGATTAATTGTGCTTTCAAT